TCTGAGTTGCTGTGTGACCTGGCTCAAGGTCCTCAATTTCTCTGTGTCTCAGGTTTTCCATCCATCAAAGAGTTGAGAGCGTTAAGGGTGGACAGTGTCCGGTGACATGGTGATCACTCAGTCAGCATCAGCAGCCGCAAAGATGATAAAGGGCCTGAGCTGGCTGCTGGAATCCACCAACCCCACCCACCTTTGGGATGAGGAGACTTGGATGGAGGGATGATGAGGGCTGGGTCATTGAGCCTGAGAGGTTCTCAGAGAGCTGTCAGGTGGGAACTGGATGTGAGGATCCTGAGTTCAGCCATGGATCCGAGAACTAGAAGAGAAGGGATGGCGGGAAGAGGAGGAACCCATGCAGATCTAGGTACCAGGTACCGGTGGCAGGTTGGCATTCAGAAAATGTTAATTGTCTCGGGTGGGACATGTGAGATAAAGACTTGGTCTCCTTCCCACTGCCCTTCACCCAGCTGTCAGCCTGGCTCTGCTCAGAGGTTCTCTATGTCCAAAATGGCACATGGGGTGAGCCTAGGAAGGGTTGGGGGGCACTGGTGCAGTCTGATCTGCCCGTCAGAGCCATGGCCAAGGCTAAGGCCTTACAAAGAAGCTCGAACTGCCCAGAAGCACAGAAAGTGATGATTCCCCCTTAATCTCACTCCTTAAATCCCATTACCTTTCCTTAGCAGCTCAGTGTATGTTCTTCTGAACATTTCAGCCATTCAGACTCTTGGTTTTCTACGTACTGAGAGGATCTATCTACCTACCTACCTACCTCTATATTTTTAGTCAGCATTTTCACCACTGTGACCAAAAGACCTGAGAAGAACGATTTTAGGGGAAAAGTTTACTTGGCACTCACGGTTTCAGAAGTCTCAGTCCATAGATGGATCACTCCATTGCTCTGGGCCCGAGATGATGCAGAACATCATGGTGGAAGGGTGTGCGGGAGAAAAGCAACTCAGGACATGACAATCGGGAAGCAGAGAGAGAACACCAGCTCTGCTCACTAGGGACAAAATACAGACTCCAAAGGCACACCCCCGAGGCCCACCTCCTCCAGCCACCCTACCTGTGACCACCCTATGCATCCACTCAAGTGGATTAACATACTGATTAGGTTAAGACTCTCATAACCCAATTATTTCACTTCTAAACTTTCTTACATTGTCTCATGTTATAGTTAAAGCTTCGTCCCGGGGTTTCATACACTGACTTCCAGGCCACTCACGTATAATCGAATCAAGCCTTTATTGAAGCACACGGGTGGCGACTGACCAGAACATAAAGCTGTTCCCCTGATCAGCCCTGAACAATTGCAAGGGCACTCCTTATAAGCCTGAAAACTGCAAAAGGGATGTTCGGGGGTCTAGCCAATGCAAGCAAACCAGGTTACAGAAGTGGGACAGTGCAGTCAAGCGGAGGGAAGCCTAACCAATCACAGTTAGCCCAGTCACCCCAGTTACAGAAACAGAGCCCCGTTACCCTAGTTCCATGTTCATAGCAAAAGGAAAAGAACATCTTGCCCCACTCATGACCCTTCTACTTGGCATGGTTGTTTTACAGAATGGAATCACATTTGCTTTATACTATCACACTCACATATGAGCTTTTGTGGAACATCTCACATGCAAACCATAACTCTCTATTTCTACAATTCACTTTTTTCACTTGCCAATGTATCATCTTCTGTGTCATCACATAGAGCCACCTCACTTTTTTAAATATTTTTTTTAGTTGTAGATGGACACAACATCTTTATTTATTTATTTATTTATTTATTTTAATGTGTGCTGAGGATCGAATCCAGTGCTTCACGTATGCTAGGCAAGTTCTCTACCACGGAGCCACAACCCCAGCGCCCCCCCACACCTCACGTTTTTTAATGGTCGTTGTATTCTGTAGCATGGAATTTCCATTATCCCCTCAACCTGCTCTGGGTGGTCACGAAGGATATTTCCCATTTTCTGCTGCCCTGAGCATCTTTGCACTTGTAGCTCAGAACTCTTGTATCTTTCTACAGGACAGATAGGCAGGTGGTAATTATCAGGAATGAATGAAAAGTCTGGTGTTTATCCCAAAATCAGGGCAACAGATAAGCTGGAACTGGATGGGTAACCAGACCTAGGAGAGGACCTGGGGGCTCAGTTCACCCTCTCTGAGCTCCATAATATGGGACCTTCTCATCTCTTTCCAGCTCGTCCTCATGGTTTGCTGGTCCTGCTTCTGTCGATTCTGAGCACTTAACAGAGAAGATAAGCCGGTACACATTCCTTCCCCTACAAAAGATAAGAATAATTTCAACTGTTATCTGCTAGACAGGAACTCACAGGGTGAAGCACCTGTGTTTATGGGAGCATATGCTGCTAACTGCCATTTCTTCATGTTGTTTTTTCCTTGAGAAAAGACCACAAGGAATGAGTGAAACCAGCCAGGGCTTCCCAGCCCCTCTTCCAAGCAATCTGGAATAAATTTTGCTTGTTATATAATCTTTTTATAATGCTAAATTCTCTGCCCCGGGGGCATCCCTGTCCACCATATTTGAACACGCCATGTTTGAAGAAGCATGATGGGAAACTCAGCCTGCTCAGGAATGTACCAGTTTCTACATGGGATGACAAAGTCTCCCCCAATAGGAATATGCATAAATTGCCCCAATAAACCTCTTATCTCTGGTTTTAGAGAGATGCTGCTTCGGGACCCTCCTTACTTGCTGCAAGTCATAAACCTCTCTGGGTTCTTTCGTCTCCTGCTGGTGTTTCCTGGCTCTGTACCCACCAAGGGACAAACCAGTTTTTTTGTTTTACAACCATCCTCTCTGGTCCCATCAGCTCTGCATACCCCACTTCCTGTCCAGGGAGAGGGTTCTCCCCAAGTCCAGGGGATTTTTCTCTTGGGATATATGCAACTTAAAGTGGCATGGTGCTTTGGTTTGAAAGTTTCAGAAGCTTAATTTCTCAGAGTTATATGGTAATGGTGGGACCATGTGGGACTTTTCTGAGGTGATTAGGTCATAACGTGAGGCTGTTCTAGAGGTGGCTCTAGCACTGACTCATTTTTTAAATTTTATTTATTTATTTTACAGTAGAATGTTGCACTGACTCCTGAATGCACCCCTGACCCATGTGGGACCCTGCACTACCTCCAGATTCTGCAGAGTCCACACCACAAGAAGGAAGTCACCAGATACAGACCCTTGACTTTGGGCTTCCCAGCCTCCAGAACTGTGCGCTAAGGAAACTTTGATTCTTTAAAAATGACTCAGCCTGTGTTTAGTTATAGCCACAGAAAACAGACTCAAACATGGGATACGGATGGTTTCTTGGCTAAGAGAATCTTCATCTTTTTTGGGGCCAAGTCAGTCAGCTGGGCTGGGTCCCCATACCCGGTCTCCTGGGGTGAGAGCATGTGCATGTGGCTGGGCTCAGGGGTGGGGCTGGCATTTCACCCTTGCAGATGCGGCCAGGTCTTCCTCTGCCATCCTCTTCCTGTCTCTGAACTTCAGGGCAGAATCAGCTTCCTGTCCATAGGACTTTTGATGGGAAGACAGTACAATTATCGGTAAGTGGCTTCTTTCCTTCTGAGACCCAACAAGGAGAGCAGATGAAATGCTATTGGTTCAGGCACTTTATCTTAATGAGACAGATTTAATAAATCTGTGTGTGACCCAGCTGGGTCCTTCAGACCATTGCAAATTGAGCTTTTGATTTACAATACATTTGAAGCAATCGCTTGGAAGTCAACCTCATCCGAAACTCGTTGGTTGAAGGCAAGCTAGGGAAGGGTGAGCGGAGCCGGCCTGAGATTTACTATCAGTAGTGACTCATTCCCCACTCCCATTTCTGGTCCTACATGGGAAGGATTAACCTTTACTCCCCCCTCAGTGTTGCCAAGTAACGGCACAGTTGGATTTTCAGGCCAGGGTGTTCCCAGCAACAGCCTCTCACTCATTAACACTTCTGGAAGTACTGCGTGTCTGTGTCTGGTTAAACTCCAAATACTTTGCAAAGCCACGAGCAAAGTCTGTCGCTACACAGAGGTGTGATATGGCCAGCCAGCCCCAGACACGAATTTAAGCCTGGAGGAAGAGAAAGGACATACGAACTAGGGTTTTCCTGGGGAACTCATTAAAAATGAAGATTCAGCAGGGAGCCCTGATGGAATGCAATTGGAACCTGAGCTGTCATTGTCACCACGGTGGAGACTGGGAGCCAGATCGGCAGCTGAATCCAGCTCTACCCCCTTTGAATGGCCAGGTCATGACAGATGACTCAGATGGACCCAGTCTCCTGGCCTCTGTTTCCTTATCTAGGATGAGATGTCACCTATGCTGTGTTATGGCCTTGAACATGACATGGGGGGACACGTACAGAAAAGTGAAGCAAAGTCCTCAGGGTTTGATAAATAGTGGGTGCCCCACCCTGTTGGTCACAGGGTGCCAAATGGATGATCAGATGGCAAGGCTCGGGCCTGTGTCACTGGGCCAGGAAAAGAGCTGAAATGTTGACAACAGGACTTATTGTCTGACATGGGGACACTTCTGAGACTGGGCCATTATTGCTGAAAGTGAAGCATGACGCAGAAGCCACCATTCCTAGCCTATCTCAGTCTACTCATTCTGACAACTGCCCATCACAGTGATGTCCCCAGAGGGAACAACTCCCCRTGCTTCTTAGACGAATTAAATATAGCCCAAACCGTCTGTTAGGCAATGGCCTTTGCTCTCTGGGAGTATTAGATCCCAGAGAGATTTCCTTTAGATCCACTCAGCTCCCTTTCTTCTCCCCCCAACTCCCTCTGAGTTTCAGGAAGCCCCTCCTGCTGCTCCACTCCTTGTCCCCACTCCTGCACTCTGGGATTGGCCCTCTAGGAGGGGGGCGAAAGAGACAGAAGTGCTCTGCACGCAGCTACGTTGTGGGCTGGAGATGCCACTGTCTTCCTTTGGTTTAATGATCAATTCATTCTTGGTCAGAAAGCCCTTTCCAACCTGCTTTGTCCTTAGTCACTCAGGCTCGGAGCGGGCACCTGCTACAGAATGATGGCTGACAACTCCACCAGCGACCTCCATGCTCCCGGACCGCAACTGAGCGTGACTGACATCGTGGTTATCGCTGTCTACTTTGCCCTGAATGTAGCCGTGGGCATATGGGTGAGAGAACCTGTGGGAGCCAGGCTCTCAGGGTGGCTGCTCGGGATGGCAAACTAGGTCTCATCGGTCTCCCCTGGTGGCCTGCTGCCCACTGTCTGGCTGCACCCGAGAGCTGCTGGGTCAGAATCCTCAGGCAGGGAGGACCATGAGGGCCTGGGGAATCTTCATTTTTAATGGGTTCCCCAGGAAAACCCTCGTTCATAAGTCCTTTCTCTTCCTCCATAAGAGACAGGTGATTTGACCCCATCTGCAGATTATAATGACAGCAGGGTGCCTACTAGGCAGGCACAGGGGCAGGCCCTTCCCCGTACCCCATCCACCAAACAGCCCCCAGAAAAGACCAACCTCATGTGCAGTTGAAGAAGCTGAGGCTGCGGGAGGCTGGGCCTTAGGAGGCCTGCCGGACAGGAGGAAGCTCCTCTTTAGGATATTTGTGACGCTGACCTTTGAGATTCTCCCACCGGGTAAGGAGGTGACACCCGTGAGCCAGGCTTCACTTCACTGCCCCTCATTTAGGGTTGGGAGAGGTCGGCTCCACCTCCTCACCCCCAGAGATCCCCAGGTGGCATCCCAGAGCTCTGACATTTTCCCAAGAAAAAACGAGTGCTCCTTCTTCTGGTCTAAGAGGCTGGGGAATGGGGGATCTGCCATGTCCTCTCCAGTTTTTTGGGATTTGGTGTAAGATGGGTCTTGACCTGTGAGATGGAGTCACCATCTACCTCCTAGGGTGAGGTCTCCTATCAAAGGGGCCTGCATGGGAGAGGACCCTGCTGCTGCCATTGGATCGACGTTAGTAGGGGTATCAGTAGGAGTGGTTGGAGGTGGAGAGGTGGTGGTGGTGGTGATGGTGGTTGGAGGTGGTTGGAGATGGTGGTGGTGGTGATGGTGGTTGGAGGTGGAGAGGTGNGGTGATGGTGGTTGGAGGTGGTTGGAGATGGTGGTGGTGGTGATGGTGGTTGGAGGTGGAGAGGTGGTGGTGGTGGTGATGGTGGTTGGAGGTGGAGAGGTGGTGGTGGTGGTGGTGATGGTGGTTGGAGGTGGAGAGGTGGTAGTGGTGGTGATGGTGGTTGGAGGTGGAGAGGTAGTGGTGGTGGTGATGGTGGTTAGAGGTGGTGGAGGTGGTGGTGATGGTGGTTGGAGGTGGTGGTGGTGGTGGTGGTGATGGTGGTTGGAGGTGGTAGAGGTGGTGGTGGTGGGAATGGTGGGAATGGTGATGGTGATTGTAGTGGTTGGTGGTAGTGGACGTGGTCCTGTGGTTGTGGTAGTGGTAGTGGTTAGCAGCAGCAGTAACTGAAATTAATTATGAAGTGATTGAATACTAAATCCCAAGTGGCCCCGTGATGGCCATTGGTGATTCTGGTTTCTGGCCCTGGCTCTGCTCTGTGTAGACATACCTTGGTTTATTCCACTTCCTAGGTAAAGTGTTTTTGTTGTTGTTGTTGTTGTTGTTGTTTACCAAATGAAGTTGTTTGGCAACATGTGTTGAGCAAGTAAGTCTAAGGGCACCATTTTTCCAACAGCGTGTGTGCTCACTTTGTGTCCCATTTTGGAAATTATTGAAATATCTTAAACTTTCTCTTTGCTATCGTACCTCTGACAGCGATCTGAGATCAGGGTCTCTGATATGACTATTGTAACTGGGGCACCATCACTTTGCCGATAAGATGGCGAACTTAATGGATAAATATCATGTATTCTGTCTGCTCCACCAGCCAGACATTCCCCATCTCTCTCCCTCTCTATTCCTGACACAGAAGTGAAATGAGACCAGTTAATAACCCTCCATGGCCTCTAGGTGTTCAAGTAAAAAGAAGCCCTGTGCATCTCTCACTTTAAATCAAAAACTAGAAATACTTAAGCTCTGCAAGGAGGGCGTGAACTAGGGTGAAAGCAAGGCCTCTTGTGCCAAGCTGTCAGACAAGTCGTGAATACCAAGGAAAAAACTCTTGAAGAATATTAAGCACGCCACTCCAGGGACCACACGAAGAAGGAGTGGATCAGGCTATTGCTGATATGGAGAAAGGATGAGAGGTCTGGGTAGAAGATCAAGCCAACCACTGCATACCAAGGGCTGACCCATGACTCTTCAGTTCTGTGCAGCTGAGAGGGCAAGAAAGCTGCGGTAGAGAAGCTAGAAGCAGGCAAACCCTTCCTGGGGTTTAGGGAGAGGAGCTGTCTCCATGACACCCAGGGCCCAGGAGAAGGGCCAGATGCTGATGGMGAAGCTGCAGCCAGTTATGCAGAGGATCCAGCTCACACAGCTGGTGGAAGAGGCTGCTCTGAACATCAGATTGCCAATGGAGATGGAACAGCCTCAGGTTAGAAGAAGATGCCACCTTCTCGTGCCAGGGAGAAGTCAATGCGTGGCTTCAAAGGATAGGCTGACTCCTTGATAGGGGCTGATGCAGCTGGTGACCTGAGTTGAAGCCAATGTTCCCTTACCACTGTGACCATCCTGGGCCCCAAGGGAATGCTTGCTTGCCACTCTGCCCCTCACAAAGCCCAGATGAAGGGACATGGGTGTGCAGCATGGTTTACTGAGTATTTTAGTTAATCTCACGCTTGAAAATTGCAGCTCAGAAAAGAAATAGATCCCGTCCATAATATGATTGACTGACATCACCCTTGGTTACCCAAGAGCTGGGAGGGAGAGGCACAAGATTAATCCTGCCTTCATGCCTACGAACACAACATCCATCCTGCAGCTCATGGTTCTAGGAGTCCTTTTGACGTGCAGTTGTTATTTCAATAGTACATTTCATGAAGCTCTAGCTGCCGTGGATGGTAATGCCTTTGATGGATCTGGGCAAAATCAATGAAACCTTGAAGGGACTCACCATCCTAGATGACATTAAGGGCATTTGTGACTCATGGGAAGAAGTCAAAAATATCAACAGTAACAGGAATTTGGAAGAAGTCAATTCCAAACATTGTGGATGACTTGAGGGGTTCAGGACTTTAATGGGGGAAGAACTCAGATGTGGGGGGATAGTGGCAAAAGTGAGATTTTAGAAGTGGGGTCTGAAGATGTGACTCAACTGCTGCCATCTCATGGTGAAAGTGTAATTGACAGGGAGTTTTTCTTATAGATGAGCAAACAAAGTGGTTTCATGAGATGGAGTCCCCCCCCCCCATGCAGATGCCGTGGACATTGTTGAAATGACCACAGAGGATCTAGAATGTTACCCAGACTTAATTGATAAAGCAGCAACAGAGTCTGAGGGGATCGACTCCGATTCTGAAAGAAGCTCTACTGTGAGTGAAATATTGTCCAACAGCATCCCATGCTAAGGAGAAATCTTTCGTGAAAGAGTCAACGGATATGGCAAACTTCACTGTTGTCTTATYTTAAGGAATTGTCACAGACACCCCAGGCTTCAGCTACCACCACCACCTTATCTGTCAGTCAACAGCCACCAGCATCTAGGCAAGACCCTTTGCGTGACTCAGTTTTCCAGCACTATGACAAAATACTTGAGATAACCAACTTATAAAGAAAAAAAAGGTTGGTTTTGGCTCACAGTTTTGGAGTTTCAAGTCCATGATTAATTGGCCCATGACTTTTGGCCTGCGTGCGGCATGGTGGCAATGGGTGGTAGATCAAATCCTCATACATCGCAAGCCAGGGAACAAAGACGAGGACTTGGAAGGAATCTGGATCCCACAATCCCCTCCAAGGGCACATCCCCAATGACCTAAGGACCTCTCACCAGGCCTCACCAACAGCAGCACCCTGGGGACCACACTTAAAAAGTGGGCCTTAGGGAGACATTCAGTATCCACACTGTGGCACCCTCCAACAGCAAATGATTAGGACTTGCTGAAACTCAAATGAGCTTTGGCATTTTTCAGCAATAAAGTGCTTTAAATGAAGGCATATACATTGGTTTTCTAGATATAATACTATTGTTCACCTAATAGTGTAAACATAACTTTTATATGCACTGAGAAACCCCCCAAAAAATCATTCCACTTGCTTTATCGCTGTAATCACTTGGTTGTGGTGGTTGGGAACCCAATCGGCAGGCTATGTCTGTGCCTGAGACAAGTTACTTAACCTCCCTGGGCTTAAATTTCCTCAAATACATAATGTGGATGTCAGTGCCGCTCACTTCTCAAAGCTGTCGCAAGGATCCAGGGGACAATGGATATGAAAATTGGTTGCAAACTACGATGGTTCCCCCCTCATCTGAGGTTTCCTTTTCCACAGTTTCAGTCACCTGAGATAGGATAACATTAAATGGATGGTTCCATAAATAAATAAATTGTAAGTTTTAAATTTGTGTGTGATTTCAGAAGTGTGACAAAATCTCAGGCTGTCCCACTCCATCTTGCCCAAAAGGTGATGCATTTTTCATCCAGCATTTCCATGACACTCACCCATTCGTTGCTTAGTAGCTGTCTCGGTTACCTTATCAACTGTCATGGTATTACTGTGCTTGTGTTGGAGTGACCCTTATTTTATTTAATGATGGCCCCAAAGCACAAGAGTAGTGATACTGGCAATTTGGACACGCCAAAGAGAAGCCATAATGTGCTCCTTTTAAGTGAAAGTTCTCAATAAGAAAAAAAAAATCTAGCGCTGAAATTGATAAGATCTTCAGAAAATTAATCTTGCAGGGTCTCTGGTTTTATTCCTAGGTCCTTGATCCATTTTGAGTTGAGTTTTGTGCATGGTGAGAGATAGGGGTTTAATTTCATTTTGTGGCATATGGATTTCCAGTTTTCCYAGCACCATTTGTTGAAAAGGTTATCTTTTCTCCAATGCATGTTTTTGGCACCTTTGTCTAATATAAGGTAATTGTAATTTTATGGGTTAGTCTCTGTGTCCTCTATTCTGTACCATTGGTCTACCAGTCTGTTTTGGTGTCAATACCCTGCTGTTTTTGTTACTGTTGCTCTGGAATATAGTTTAAGGTCTGGTATAGTGATGCCACCTGCTTCACTCTTCTGCTAAGGATTCTTTATAAGGTCTCTTATTTTTCCAGATGAATTTTATGACTGCTTTTTCTATTTCTATGAGGAATGCCATTGGGATTTTGATCAGAATTTTAAATCTTTTGGTAGTATGGTCATTTTGATAATATTAATTCTGCCTATCCAAGAGCAAGGTAGATCTTTCCATCTTCTAAGGTCTTCTTTGATTTCTTTCTTCAGGGTTCTGTAATTTTCACTATATACATCTTTCACTTCTTTCATTAAGTTTTCCCAAGTATTTTATTTATTTATTTATTTATTTGAGGCTATTGTAAATGGGGTAGTTTTCCTTGTTTCCCTTTCAGAGGATTTGTCACTGATATACAGAAATGCCTTTGATTTATGAGTGTTTATTTTATATCCTGCTACTTTGCTGACCTAGGAATAAAACCAGAGACCCTCATCTAAGAGAAGAAAAAGTAGGCCCTAATCTCCATCATGTGGGATTAGACCCCAACTTCCCTAATAAGACTCCTTTGGCTCAAGAATTAAAATCAAGAATCAATAAATGGGATGGACTCAAACTAAAAAGTTTCTTCTCAGCAAAAGAAACAATCTGTGAGGTGAATAGAGAACCTACRTCTTGGGGGCAAATCTTTACCCCTCACACATCAGATAGAGCACTAATCTCTAGGGTATATAAAGAACTCAAAAAGCTAAGCATCAAAAAAACAAATAACCTAATCAATAAATGGGCCAAGGACCTGAACAGACACATCTCAGAAGATGATATACAATCAATCAAAAAACATACGAAAAAATGTTCATCATCACTAGCAGTTAGAGAAATGCAATTCAAAACTACTCTAAGATTTCATCTCACTCGAATCAGAATGGCAGCTATTATGCAGACAAACAACAATAAGTGTTGGTGAGGATGTGGGGGAAAAGGTACACTCATACACTGCTGGTGGGACTGCAATTTGGTGCAGCCAAAATGGAAAGCAGTAGGGATATTTCTGGGAAAATCGGGAATGGAACCACAATTTGACCCAGCTATCCCTTTCCTTGATCTAGGATACAGCCACAATTCACAATAGCTAAACTGTGAAACCAACTTAGATGCCCTTCAGTGGATGAATGGATTAAAAAATGTGGCATATATACACAATGGAATATCACTCAGCAATAAAATAGAATAAAATCATGGCCTTTGCTGGTAAATGGATGGAGTTGGAGAAGATAATGCTGAGTGAAGTTAGCCAATTCCAGAAAACCAAATGCCGAATGTTTTCTCTGATATAAAGAGGCTGACTCATAGTGGGATAGGGAGGGGGAGCATGGGAGGAATAGACGAACTCTAGATAGGGCAGAGGGGTGGGAAGGAAAGGGAGGGAGCAGGGGATTAGCAATGATGGTGGAATGTGATGGACATCATCATCCAAAGTACATGTATGAAGACACAAATTGGTGTCAACATACTTTATATACAACCAGAGATATGAAAAATTGTGCTCTATATGTGTAGTAAGAATTGTGATGCATTATGCTGTCATATATATATATATATATATATATATATATATATATAAAATTTAAAAAATATAAAAAAATTAATCTTGCATCCATGAATTGTGGAGAAAAATAAATTCTTACTAGTTTTGCTGTCACACCTCAAACTGCAAAAGTTATAGCCACAGTATGACACAATGCTTATCTAAGATGGAAAACACATTAAGAGTGTCTGTGTATATGGAAAAACATAGAATATATAGGGCAATGACCAATGAACGGTGGTTTCAGGCACCCTCTGGGGGGTCTTCCTCTGGGAGTCTTGGGATGCATACCCTGTGGGTAGGAGGGGATGGCTCTATAATGTTCTACATTCCTGGAAGAGTTAAAGGCTACAAAGTCAGAGAAGGGTATGCGTGTAGAGGGCAGAACAGGTGGTRGCAGTTTTCTGGGGAAGATAAAATGAGGACCAGGTGCTGGAGGTCAGCAAGACATAGAGAAGGGAAGAAGCCAGCCAGGGAGGGTATTTATCTGGAAGAACACACCTAAGAAGGATGTTCTGGATACTGTGATATTATTCCTTTTGCCCTTGCTGCCCAGGACTCGCCTCTCCCAGCTCTGAGATGTAGCTCCGTGCCCCCAGCATCAGGGCTGCGGAAGTTCTTCCCTGGCCCTTAGGCAGGTCACGCTGGCTGAGCTGGGTGCTGTTGGCCACAGAGCATGCCAAAAAGAGCAAGTCAGGGAGGGTCCTGGGTCCGTCTCCCACAGAGGCAGCCCAAGTGCTCACAGTTCAGAAGCAGACGGAGCAAGCAGGTCAGGTGAAGCTCTGTACAGATGCTTGAATGGTACAGTTCAGGGAGCTTAAGGAGGAGAGCCTTAAGGAGGAGATGCTGCCCTGGAGGGAGAGATTTCGAGCAGAACCTTTGCAATCATGAAGGTATCTGTTAACAAGTGATTTTTAAAAAACCACTTTCAAATGAGCTCTAAGAACAAAGTGCAGAAATACACAGAAGTCTGATAATAGGGAAGGCTTCAGGTGCACTGTGATCCAGGGCTCTACAGGATCATCAAAGTGATGGGAATACCCTCATTGTGGTTCTCTCAGCCTCCAGCCACGTGTGACTTTGTCCCTGACATGGTTCAGGTGTGATTAGTCTCCCAAAGTTTCGTGTGTTGGAGGCTTGGTCCTTAGCGTGGTTCAGTTGGTGGAACTTTTAAGAGGTGGGGTCTACCTGCCATTCCTGTTTGTGTGTGTGTGTGTGTGTGATAATCAATGTTGTAGATGTCATAGTGGGAACCTGGTGTTGAATGCTGTATTGTTATTTTATTTTTGCATCAGTTGTTGCTATTGTTTGTTTCCCCTCTTCTGTGAAGTGCTGGGGACCTACAAGGACACAGGTTCACAGGGTAGAGACTCTGCTGATGAACCAAACTCAGCCAAAAGACAGTGCACCTCGCTGCACACACAAATTAATGACACTCAAACTTTTTTGGGCCCTTGGGTTCCACTCACAGACAAAAAAACCCAAAACCAAAAAAAATTAAAAATAAAAAAACAGAAGATCAACACAAAGGTTGTGGATACCACCCCTGTGAGGGGGATCTCCATCTAGATCACACTAGGACACCTTGGTAAGATGGGGTTCTGCCCTAAAAAGTCCCCCACAGAGGAGTAGAAGAGAAATCCATCCCAACTGATGCATAAAAACCCAACAGAGGATCACAAATTCAAGGCCAGCCTCAGCAACTTAGCAAGAGAACCTGTCTCCAAATAAGAAATCAAAAATTGGGGCTAGGGTTGTGGCTCAGCAGTAGAGCGCTTGTCTAGCATGTGCGAGGCCCTGGGTTCGATCCTCAGCACCACATACAAATAAATAAAATAAAGGTATTGTGTCCAACTACAACTAAAAAAATTTTAAAAAATGTATGGGGAAGGATATTGACCAAATGATATGGCTACATTGTGTACATCTATGAATATTTAACAACAAATCCCACCATTAGGTATAATATAAAGCACCAATAATTTTTTTAAATAAATACAAAGGACTAGGGGTGTAGCTCAGTGGTAGAGTGACTCTGGGTTCAATCCTCTGTACCCCACCCCGCGTCATTTAACTGTATCAACCTGTTCAATTCATGACATTTAATACCTTTAAATCGTATAATTATTACTTCTGTCTAGCTCCAAAACATTTTCATTGCTCCAAAAAGAAATTCTGTGTTTATTAGACATCACTCCCTATTCTTCCTATTCCCCATCCACTGGAAATCTACATTCTATCTCCACGGATTTACCTATTCGGGACATTTCATGTAAGTGAAATCATATAATATGTGGTCTTCATGTGTGCTTTCTTTTACTTAGCATAATGTTTTAGCATAAAATCCAAGTTGTAGCTTGTGTCGGAACTTCATTCCGGTCCCCCCCACCCCTTTTTTGGTTCTGGGAATTGAACTCAGGGGCACTCGACCACTGAGCCACATCCCCAGCCCTATTTTGCATTTTATTTAGAGACAGGGTCTCACTGAGTTGCTCAGCACCTTGCCCTTGCTGAGGCTGGCTTTGAACTCGCAATCCTCCTGACTCAGCCTCCCAAGTCGCTGGGATAACAGGCATGTGCCATGGTGCCCAGCTACTCCCCTCCCCATTTTGGTGTCAGGAGCGGGATAATTTTATTCATTTCGCTGACCGAATTGTCATTGTAAGCATATGCCACAGTTTATCTATTCGCTCATTAGTTGATAGACATTTGGGTTGTTTCCACTTTCAGTTATTTTGAATAATGCTACTAACGAACATTTCTAGATAAGTTTTGACTGCGAACATCTGATTTCAGTTCTTCTGGGCATATATACCTAGGCATGGAATTTGCTAGGTCACATGGCAATCCTATGCTTGATTTTTTAAACTAGCAACAGCAGCATTCAGCATTCCTACCAACAATGCACAAGGTTCCAATGTTCACCTTTCCTTTCTCTTGTTCCTGCAGTCATCTTGTCGAGCTAGGAGGAGCACAGTGGACGGCTACTTCCTGGCAGGCCGAGACATGACGTGGTGGCCAGTGAGTGAACTCTGACTTTTCACACAGCCTTCCCTTTGTCCGTGGGGCTGTATCTGGCCTTAGGTCAGCTGGCATCTGCCTCCCTGATATCACCTTACTGTCTTCCTAATCCAAGGTTCACTGCCCAGGGCCAGCTCCATGGGATAGGCCTAAGGCTGGCAGGAGATCCTCGAACTGGGGACAGGCGGGTAGGGTCAAGCAGATGGGATTTGCATAAAGGGCAGTCTTTGCCTGCTCCTTAGCAGCGTGGCTGGTACATCATGGCATACCCCTGGGCGTCGTCTCACGTGTACAGTGGGAATGGGGCCCCACTTAGGTTGAGATGTACAAGGAGATGTTGTTGGGTCCAGGCTGGGGCTGGTGGCTGAAGCCTGTGCTGATTGGTTTTCCTCTTTCCCCTCCAGATTGGAGCCTCCCTGTTCGCCAGCAGTGAAGGTTCTGGCCTCTTTGTTGGACTGGCGGGCTCTGGTGCAGCGGGAGGCCTGGCTGTGGCAGGCTTTGAGTGGAATGTGAGCACGTGGAGAGGGCGTGTGCAGCCTGAGGGAGGGCTGGGGCAGAGAGTCCAGCAACTTTGGCTGGACCCTGGAGGTGGGCAACTCCCAAGAACACGTGTCAGCCATTGTCCAGGCAGGCTCTGGGCAGGGGTGTTCCTTGGGCAACATGGTCTTTGGGATGCTGTAGTGAGACCGGAAGGGGGCTCTTGGCCTTGGCCCCACTCATCTGCCACAGAGGCCCAGAGGCAGGGAGGGGCCACCCAGGTTCTCACAAGTCAGATGGATCTGGGGTCCCTGGGTCATCTAGTAGTCTCAGGGGCAAGGCTTCGGGGATCTGCACACATGATCTTTACCTCCCCTATCCCCGCAGGCCACGTACGTGCTGCTGGCGCTGGCGTGGATATTCGTGCCCATTTATATTTCCTCAGAGGTGAGTGGTGGGCCCGTCCTCCCCAGCCCCTGTGACCAGCTGGCGAACCCTCAGAGCTGGGTTTTTCCTATTAGACCAGCTGAGATTCTTACCAGCTGGGTAAGGCCGTCCCCCTTAGACCTCCGCCTGCTTATTTTGTGACTAGTTTCCACTGCCCTGACACTGTCAGGTGGGACCCCTGGATCGCACACCTGGGCAGCATAGCCGAGTGGCACATCTGGACTGCACACCTGGGTGGCGTAGCAGGGTGGCACTGGGCAGAACAGCTGGGTGGCACACCTGCCTTCAGTATCCCTGACTCCACCCACCCCTTTAGCCCCAGTCCCGCAGCCACGGAATCCAGTGGATTCCACCTCCATGCTCCCCCCCTGCTCTGCCCCCACAGCCATCTTCTCTGTCCAGCCTCATCATAGATCCTCTGGGTTTGTTGCAACAGCCTCCAAACTTGTCCCTCTGTTCCCAGCTGTGGCTCCTCCAATCAATTCCTCATCTCAGCCCTGAAGAGCCAACCTCAACCTGTCTAAACTCAGCCTAGAATTCAGGGCCTGGGGCTGGGACTGTAAGGAGCAAGTGTCCTGGCCTTGCCCTCGAGAGGATCATGGCCACTTTGTGTGTCCAGGGAGAGGGAGAGCGGATGGGATGGGCCCCTGCCCTGGACACCGGTCATGGTCTCTGGGGAGTGTTTAGCTCTTCTTGCCCATTATGTCCCCCAGATTGTCACCTTGCCTGAATACATTCAGAAACGTTTTGGAGGCCAGCGCATCCGCATGTACCTGTCTGTCCTGTCCCTGCTGCTGTCTGTCTTCACCAAGATCTCGGTGAGTTGCCCCCCAGCCCCACCTTTTACCAGCGGATCCTGGAAACATCCCTGATCTGGGGCCCCTGAAACGGACCTGACATCCACCTCACTCATCACTGCTTTGTTGAACAGCTAGGGAAACTGAGGCCCAGAGAGTGCCATGACTTGTTTAGAGTCACACAGCCAGTCTAGGACAGCATCCTGCCCCAGTGGGGCAGAACAGGAGGGGCTAGACCTGGGCATCTTCCCTGGAACCAGCAGCAAAGTCAGCCAGGATTTCCCACTAGAGGGCGCCCAAAGCCTGCGTGGTCCCGGCCGGTTCTGCTCCTGCACCCGGGAGACCTCCTGCCTTCCGCCCAGACTGCTGGTGGCAGCCCGGTGGCTCCCGACTTCCTTCAGGGCCTGGATCTGTGAATATTAAAGAGCAGCAATCCCACCTTACAGGGGATGGTGATCAGAGGAGTTCTCCCTGTCCAAGACCCTGATTTTACAGAGAGAGAAACGGAGGCCCAGGAAAAGGAAGGAACTTGACCCAAGCCTCTTACCAGACTTTCAGACTCTCTCTTAACTTTCCCCGGGGGCATCCAGGCTTCCTAACGAGCTTGAGTTGGAGCCACCTGATGTGGGCTCAGGTAGCGACCTTGATAAGTCACCGAGCCTCTCGAGCCTCAGTTTCCTTCCTTATCAGAAAGGGTGACAGAGCCCAGCTCTCGGGACTTCAGTCAGGGTGGATGAGGGCTGATGTCTCGTCTAGGGACTGTGCTCTGTGAGGTCTGGCTTCCTCCTTAGGGGAAGCTTGGCATGATTTCGTGGAAGGAATGGAGGCCAGGGCCTCTCTGGTCAGCAGGACCTGGCCTTGGGCTGCCCTTGAGACCAAGTTCTGAATTTTCCCCTGCTCCTCYTCCTCCTCTTATCCCTTTCCTGAACCCCACCTCCTTGGAAGCCAGGGATACAGAAATAAACAACACCCTGTCCCCAACCTGCCCTGGGCTTCACTACAGTGAGGTGGATACATAGGAATGACAGGCACGGCCAGATGGAACTCAGCAACTGGCATCTCAATGGAGCCCCCACAGAGAAAGAGGTGCTGGTGGAGGAGCAGAGGAGAATGGCTCAAGGGGAGACAGGCCGTGTGTAGGATGTGCCTGGGGGTGGCTGGATCAGGAGGCCTAGATTCTAGCAGCCACTCTCAGTCAGATGCTTTAGAGGTCAGATAGGAAAACAGGGAAGAGAAAAGCTGGGCCAGGCCCAGCAGCCTGTGATCCCAGTGAATCAGGAGGCTGAGGCAGGACGAGCACAAGTTCAAAGCCAGCCTGGGTTATTTAGTGACACCCTAAGCAACATAGCAAAACCCTGTCTCAAAATAAAAATAGAAAATGGATTGGGGATGTGATTCAGTGGCTGAGCGTCCCTAGGTTCAATCCCTGCCCAGAATCAGAGAGAGAGAGAGAGAGAAAGAGAGAGAAAGAGAGAGAGAGAGACTGGAAGGGAGGTAATAGGGAGTATCGGGGACTGAGGCAAACCAGAGAATGGGTTGCAGGGGTGCCGCAGTCTGGCTGGGCACAATTCACGAGCCACTTATCAAGCAGAAACGAACTTTATTTTTAGAACACACACACCGCACCACACGAGCTCTTCAGGAATTCCCTCAGAACCCAACTGCCACCAGTGGCTTCCTACAAGCATCTCAACCCCCCAATGAGCAGCTCTGTGGTCTGAAAGGGCGGGGAAACAGCCCAATGAGCATCACCGCAGAGGAGCCAATCAGCTGGCAGCTGGAAGTTTGCTGGGGCCACAGTGAGCCAATCTGCTGGAAGTTTGCTGGGGCCCTTTCGGCTGTGGCTCTCAACACAGGGGAGAGACAGAAGAGGGGAGGCATGTGGGGGGCCCTGGAGGGGTCTAGTGAAGGAGGGAAGGTGAGCTGTGGGCACCAGGCTGCTTCACCATCACCACCCCTGTTTACCCTCTGACATCTATGCAGTACAGAGTAGATGTCACACGGAGCTGGCTTCAAGTGAGTGGCTAAGGTGGAACTTCCCGAGCAGCAGAGGGAAGAGCTCCTTAGAGACTACCGTCTCCAGGCCTYCCCCCCCTCCCTCCCCATGTACAGATGAGACCGCTGAGACCCACACTGCACCCCTGGCCAAGATCACAGCCACCAGGCAGAGGCCTGTTAGAACCCGGGTCTCTGCCTCCAGGCCCAAGGGCCTGACCACTACACTACTGCTCCCCAGATAGCCAGGATGTGGCACTCCAAACTCCACCTTGTGATGGGGTGACTCAAAGGACCCAGCTATGAAAAGGGGAGTGAGCAGTCACATCAAGGCCAGGCTTCGGCACCAACGCGGGAGCTGCCTAGATGAGGCAGAGGGCGAAGCTGAAGCAAGGCTAATTGCTGGTCTTGGTTTGGGAGGGGACTAGGGCTGCCCTGCTCCTGGCTTTGGAGTGAAGCTGTTTGAAGGGCACGCATTCTACGGCCCCCCAGAGGTCCTGAACGCACCAGGCTGAGCTTTAGGGACATCTCATGTGTCCGCCCATACAGAAGCCATCCCAGGTGCAGCCTGTCCTGACAGAGGTCCTAGAACTGGCCTGCAGCCACCCCTCAGGTGGGGGCACCTGCCTGCCAGGAGGACCTGTCATGGGAGGGTATGGAGAATCACCACTGCACTCATCTAGAGGAACCGTGAGCTCTGGCCGGCCGTTTAACTTCTGGAAAATAGGGAAGGCAGGCACAATACCCTGTGCCACTTGAACTGAAAACCCCACCAGCCTCACCTCTTCCTCTTCTCCTTCTGGTCTCCTGGCACTGCCACCCACCTGCCAGGCCTAGTCCTGCTTTAGCACTTGCTGTGTGGCCTCTTCCTGGAGCCCTGTTCCCCAGCTGTGCCCTTGGCTCCCTCACCTCTCTCAAGCTTTTTAAATTCTTTACCCCTGCCCCAGGGAGACAGCTCCCTTACCTTTTCTCTCTCCTTCCTACTCTTACACAGAATCATTGACTTAGAATGTCTATTGTCCGTCTCCCCCATTTTTTCTCTTTGTTCCCTGATGCATCCCCAGGGCTGTTGGTGCCTGGCACACTTCCCGGAACTGAGTAAGTTAACATAAGTCAGGGTCGGCTCATTTTTTTTTCTACAAAGATCCTGATAGTAAATATTTTGGGATTTGGGGGCCATCTGGTCTCTGTTCCAACTCCTCAACTCTGCTGCAGTGGCCAAGAGTAGAATAAGGTGGGTCTGGATTTGGCCTGCAGTTTCCTCTGGTCTCTGGAAGCATGCTTACCTATGGTGTACCTACTGTGTGCCTGGCTCTGGGTGAGCAGGCCAGCCCAATGAGCCCTTTCCAGATAGGTGTGATGCCTGGACAGAGCAATACCATCACAGCAACGGTGAACATCTGAGCCAAGAAGCCAGCTCGGGAGATGATAGTGAGGAGAGGGGACAGGGGCGCTCTGGGGTAGACATTCAAGCTCTGCTGCATTATCTGGGCAAGAATTTGGCAAACACAAGGAGTCAGGGAGCTGCTGGTGGGGCTGGAGTGCCAGGGGCATGGGGAAAAGGGGGCATGATGGGACAGATGGGGGGTAGCCAGCAGCACACAGGGCCTGGGGCTGGGCAGGGCAGGGCAGGTGGTCTTTATTCCTCGCGTGGTGTAAATGCTGGCATCCCCTGAGTTTCCTCCAGAACAAGCAGTTCAGGAAGAAGCAGTGAGGGTCTCCAAGGGCAGCACAGTGGGTGGRGAAGAGTGCAGGAGTGTTTGGGGAAAGAATCCACAGCAGTGGCCAGAAGTTTATGTTCTGAGCCCTCAAGAGATAGTGATCGTCTCTATAGAAATAAGCAAGGTCCTGGGCAGGGGACACAGGGAACAACTTAATAGGATAATCAATCACGCAGTAATTCATAGATATCAGTGCAGGGCTCCATGGTGGCCAGGTGGGGACAGGGAGAGGGAGTAGATGAAGGGATCAGAAGTACCAGGCCGTCTCTACCCTTTGGCTGCTGATGCACCTTGTAGGGGACAGTGTCCACCAACTGGGAAATGGAATGAAGACCCCAGAACCTGGGAAGCTTAGGGTTCCAAGCTGTGGGAGCCCCACAGATCAGCCCCCATGCTGCTCATGAACTTTGAGCAAAATATGAACTTCTCTGGGCCGAAGTGTCCTCATCTAAGGAGTGTAGCTGGCCATCACAGCCACCCGCCAGAGGGCCACAGCATGAGATGAGGCTCTGAATACCAACATGCTCAGGGCTGTGCCTACAGACACCAACACTTGTCATCTATCAAAGGTGGCAAGTAGACAAAGGTCTCCTTGGGGACAACCGGGGATGTGGAGGACCAGCAGAGTCTCTGGGAATAAGATAGAGGGAGCAGCCTACAGGCAGACACGTTGGAGTCCTGCTCGGGGAAGGAGCAGGGAGGTGACGGGGTTGAGTGTGGGTCAGTCGGGACCCTGGACATCATCCTGGAGCTTTCTCAGGGGTCCGAGCAGTGGCTCTGGTCCTGCTGGGTGGTGGAGTGAGGTCCTAGAGTGTCCTATCTACAGGGATGCAGCTGCCTGGTGTTGTCCTTTTGATGGGTTCCCAGGGTTATGCCACAGTGGGTGAGTTTGACTTTGGTCAAACTCTTGATTTTAGTCTCTCCACCCATGTTTTCAGGGGGTTCGATTAGACTCTGCAGCTGCCCCTGGGCCAGAGAGGAGGAAGCCCCCTCAGAGGTTGCTTAGCTTTCTAGAGCATCCCTTGGGGAGGGCTATGCAGAGGGAGAAGCCACTGCTCCTGCTGGTCTGGCAGAAGTGACTGTTCACTCCACATCCGCTGCATTTTACAGATGAGGGCCACTGAGGCTCAGGGGGTGAAGTGACCTGCTCAGAACTGTATGGCTGGGACATAGCAGGCCAGGAACACAGACCCAGGGCCATGTGGGTCTTAGCTTCTACCAGGCAGAAGCTTGTTGGACCCTCAGACAGGGTCAGGCAGGACTAGGAGATGTGTGCAGGTCCTCACCAGGGGACTTCCTTGGGGTTGCAGGGAGTTGTGCCCTTGTGGGACCTACTTCATGTAGCTGAGTCCTACAGAAAGGACTCAGCTAAGGTCCTCCCCACTCCTTAGTGTTCCTCAAAGCCTGCTCCCACGGAAGGAAGGGAGGACTGACTATCCACCAGGGGCAGAGGTGTGGGTCTGGGATGGTGAGTTTTGAAAATGAGAGGCAGAGACTGGGACAGTCCAGGGCAGATGGGGCTAGTGAGCTGAGGCCAGAGTCAGCAAAAGTGCTGGGTGGTGAGTCTGGTGTGACCAGGGCCTGGAGACCAGGTGCATAGACTAGGGCTCCATTCCAGAGATCTGGGGTCCAGAGGGGTCCTCGGCAGCAGCTGTAGGGCAGCCGGGCAGTGGCAGGCAGTCTGCTGCAGTGGGCTTTCCAGAGACCTCCTGCCCCAGGGTCTGGCTTTGGGAAGTCCCTTTTCTGACTTAGGACTCAATTTCTCCTCGTCCTATGGGGTGAGGACTTGAAGAATCCTTCAAGGAAGGGTTAGGGTTAGCATTTCTGGGCTTCTTGGCTTGGGCTGGAGGCCAACCTCCCCCTCCCCAATCTCTCTCTGAGCCACCCCTCACATGCACACTCATGCACACCGCTAAAGCCACAAGCCCAAATGGCTGTACTCTCCAGGAGCAAGGAGGAGCCAGAGGAAGCAGTGTAGGGAACATGGGCTCTGGAGTCCATCTTGTTCCTACCTGGACTCTGTCCCAGGGGCTCTGGTCCCTGGGCCCTGGCTCAAGATAGTGCTGGCTGCTCCAACGTGGGCCAGGCTCTGGGGGAGATCAAAGGACTTAGGGTCCCTGCCTCTTGGGCTCTAGAAAGACCAGGTCTTGTGCAAACTTGTTCCACACAGCTGGAGGCTCCAGTGACCCACAGTCCTTAACTAACCCTAGCCTGTGACATGCCTGTGAGCACTCTGGCTTCAGGTCCAACCTCATGGGAGGGAGTGGACAATAAGCCACTCTGCTTCCCCGCCCACCCCCAGCACCTGTCTTCTGAGGCCCATTAGTCTTCACAAGACTCCCCATGAATTCCTCTTAGACTCTTCCTTGTTAGGGTCACTCCAGGAAGCAGGGGAGAGGGCTCTTTTGTATCCGTTGGGAAGTGACCAAATTCAACAACACCACGCTTTCTGGTGGGCACTGGCCACCCTGGACTTTATTCATGACAGTACATCCCTGGTACATCTGCACATGGCTCACAGCTGCCGAGGCCGCTTCTTCCTCCCACCCTCACAACAGCCCCAGGATGCGGGCGGGTGGACAGGGGTCTCCCCTCCCTCATCCAAGGGGCATCCAGGCCCAGAAGGGGCATTTCCCAGGTCACATGGCCCGTCAGTGCAGCGCCAGGGCTCTGACCGTCGGGTCCTGGTAACCTTAGACTTCTACCCCAAACCTCTTTCTTCCTCAGATCGACCTGTACGCCGGGGCCCTCTTCGTGCACATCTGCCTGGGGTGGAACTTTTACCTCTCCACCATCCTCACGCTTATCATTACCGCTCTGTACACCATTGCAGGTATGGCTCCTTTGACGGGGTCAGGGCAGGGCCTGAAGGGAGGGCCTGCCCACCACTGGCTTGGGCAGAGCCAGGAGACGAACAGGAAGCACCGTGGGCTCCAGGGGAGACCCCCCAAGGAGTGGGACCAGGTGCTTTATTGCTCATCCACTTCTGAAAGGGTAGGGGGCACATCTGGGAACAGCTGCCCCAACAGGAGCTCTAGAAGTTGCCAAGGGACCCCACCTCCAGTCACCTTGTTCCCCACAGGGGGCCTGGCCACTGTGATCTACACGGATGCCCTGCAGACCATCATCATGGTGGTGGGGGCTGTCATCCTGGCGATCAAAGGTAAGGGTGGGGGGCGTGGCTATAGAGGGGGGTGGGCTGCCCCAGCAACCTGCAGGACCAATGAGGTCACGCTGCTAGGCAACCATCCCTTGCAGGCCTCTCCTGGCTGCCCCGCTGCCCAGCTGTCACCAGCTATGGGCCGGGTCAGGAGCTGACTCAAGAACACAGGGCCTGTCGTGTGTGCCGCCCTGGCTCAGGACTGACAGCAAGGTGGGGCTGCTGGAGGGTGTGGAGGCAGCAATTAGGAGACCACAACACTGCCCAGGCGTCTCCTCCAATTGTTTAAGATCAGGTACAGAATCCTGAAAGGTGATGCTACCCACTGCTAGAGGCAGGGGAGGGGAGAGGAGCATTTAGACAGAGTGATGACATGGGTCTGGGAATAGCTTATAGGGCTGCCAGGGGCTGGGGGGTAGGGTGGAGGTAGTGAGCTCTCTGTCCCTGAAGTACGCAAGYAGAGCCAGAAGGATCCCACAGAGGGCGAATGAAAGCCTTTAAAGATTTCCAGACTCAGAATCTGAGATCCTGCAGTTGAGCAAACTCTAAGCCTTGTGTAGCATCTGTACCTTTGCTTTGATACTCACATAGGCCCCTGAACACAGATCCTGGCCCGGCTTCTAGTGTAGGCAACAGGTTCCCTCTTCCATGATCTGCTGGGGAACAGGGCTTGGGGCAGAGACAGGCTTCCTCCTCTTAGTCCATGGACCCGACATCCACAAACCTCACTGCACATGAGGGACCCAGACAGCTAGGCCCAGTCTGGATGGGAGTGGAGTGACCACGGCTATGGCCAAACCACAGACAGGCCAGGGCTTGGCCATGTGGAGTCCTGACCCCGAGGTAGAAACGAGGGGAAAGATTTGCTCTGGACTTGAGAGACCCCTGGCTTGAGCCCCACCTGCCCAGCAGGCTGCATGACCTTGGAGGAGCCACATCACTGCCACCATTCTTGGCTCTACTAAAATCACAACCTTTGGGAACCTGGGTCAGGACATTTAACACTTTAGATGCCTCAGGAAAGTCTTTGAGTGCCAAGAAAAAAATGTTTTGCTTCCTTGAATGGATAATTCAAAACCTGGCGGAGAACCCCTTATCGGAGGCCCACAGGCATCTGGAGACCAGCAGTGATTCCCACCAGGCCAAGTGGACACAGTGGTGTCCATGTGCAAAATGCTCATTTAATAGTATTATCTTAAATACAAATAAAATAGTTATTTAATTTCACCTTTTTTTTGTTTGTTTGTTTTTTGAAACCCTCTACCCACCACACCTTCCCAAATGCCAGGAAAGGCAAGGTAGAAAAAACTTCCAGTTTGATGCATTAGGATGTTATTCGTGAGATGAAGAAGTGCAGCAGGAGCTGGGGAGTCAGGGCCACCCAACCAAACTGTCCCTGTCCTGCCCAACCCTTCCAGCTTTCGACCAGATCGGTGGATATGGGCAGCTGGAGGCAGCGTATGCCCAGGCCATCCCCTCCAAGACCATCGCCAACACCACCTGCCACCTGCCACGCACAGATGCCATGCACATGTTCCGGGATCCCTACACAGGGGACCTCCCATGGACCGGGATGACCTTCGGCCTGACCATCATGGCCACCTGGTACTGGTGCACCGACCAGGCAAGTGCCAGCCACGCCCACCCTCTCCGCCTTCCTGCCTTCCTGCCTTCCAGCGCGGGCTCTGGTGGGTCCAGCCCGGACGGGGCTGCTAGGGGTCCTTGTGGTCCCGAGGTGCCTGGGCCCTCCGCTTAGAATCAGACGAGGCCCACTGGCTACCCCCCGACCTGGCTTTTAGGTGCTTTGACTGGGACAGTTTGGAAAATGGGATTCCAAAGGGACTCGGACGCTCCTCAGTGGCTCTGCTATCAGCCAAGATGCGGGTGTTTCGTGTTGGCCTCGGGCTCCGGGGATCGGGCAGTATGCGGGCTGTCGGGCTGCCCTTGGGCTGCCAGTGCTGGGGGCCTACTGAGGCCAGGGTCACTTTCCTGGGAGAGCTCTGGGCGCCATCAGCAGCAGGGCGGTACCGGGGACCTCCTGGGGTCTTTGAGGCAGGGCCATCACGGTGGAATTGCTGGCCCTGGAAGAGAGAAACAAAGAGTAAGGACCGTGCAGGGACCCTTGCCAGGCACACAGGGTGGGCCAGACCCAGAGCAACAGATTTCTGGCTCGGCCACTCAACACATTGGGTTTAACTAGTTTGTGTGTCTCAGTTTCCTCATCTGTGACACAGAATCATTCTGCCTTTGGGGTTGTAGCTCCTGCCATATTTCCTCACCATCCCCACCAAGCCTGGTCAATCTGGGCACAGGGCTGCATGAGGTTTAAAAACACTGAACGGGGTTGTTGGAGACCTGAATTTCTGTTGAGGGCAGAAGACAACTCTGGTCCCCCCCCCCCATCATGAACCCTGCAGGTGACCTCAGAAAAGCCACTTCCTGTCACTGGGCAGAAGCAGATGATGCCCCTGCCTGCTTGTCCTGAAGGCCATGGGCCTTGTCCTGAGAGCACAAGCTGGGGACCTCTTGCCTCCCCTGTGAGGCGGGCAGGCCATTCACAGGCTACAACACTGAGGCCCAAACACAGAGGTAGAYGTGGAGGGTGGAGTGAATTTCCGGGACTCCTGAGCAAGAGGGGCTCCATCAGTGTCTGCCCAATGACTCTCCCTGGGTTCTAACCGTGGGAAGTGACACAGACTTGAAAGTGACAGAGGCCCTGGGAAGCTGGGCCTCAGTTTCCCCATCTGTAACCCCACACCCCTCAGATGCCCACATCAGTTATGCAATATGCCTGGATTTCAGGGAACGTGTGGCCCATGGCAGATGTCTGCCCACCTCCCCTGGGAAGGCTGAGGGCCAGCCCAAGTAGGAAATGTACCAGAAGAAAGATGGCAGTGGAGGGCGAGCAGGGCGTGTGGGCACCCCTGCCAGGCTGCGTCCCTATATCTCCTTCTGTGTGGCAAGGCCTGGCATGGCACAGGCTTCCGAGAGGAGCCTAAGACCCAAAAAGGGTCCTCCAGGGAGGCAGAGGAGGTACCTTGCAGGCCCCAGATGGTCAGAGCAGCGGTCAGCCGATGGGTCCAGGGCAGGGCCTCAGCCTTGCCGCCCCATCTTCCTCCCCTTGGGCTGGGTCTGCCTGGAGGCTGTGGGGTCTTGGTCCAGCCCCTGGCACAGGTCTGACTCAAGGCTCCCCAGTCTCTGGGCAGCCCCACCCTAGCCCCTGGGGACTTTTGCGGACCCAGAGGTCTGACTATGCTCTGTTCTCTATGCTGGGTCCGTGGGGGCTTTTCATTTTCACTGTTTCTAGCCTCATCCACAATAAGGAGGTGATAGTTTTGTGATCAGAGACAAAAACCAACAGCAAATGAGGCAGAAGGGCCAGAAGGGCCAGAAGGCAGAGTCCTGGCCTGGTCTGGGTTCAGTGGCAGAACACATGGTGCACAGATGGGAATGACTCTTAGGGTCCTGCCAGCTCTGATAGCTCCCAAAACTGTCCCCTGCTGATGCTATGGTATGAACCAGAGTATCTTCCCCTCGGTCAGCAGCAACAGCCCCAATCCTAACAGGAACTGCAAGTCTCTGTAGTCAGCCATGACTGGCTAGTGGCCACACCCTAAGAAAAGGCTAAAAAAATCCTGAGAAAGAGAACTCACATCTACCAAAGGCCCTGGACTAGCCAGGCACAGGCTCTGCTGACCACACCAGTGACCTCACTTAATCCTTGCAGCAATCCCTGCATTGGTAGCAGTAACCTATTTTGCAGATAGAAATGGGGTCAGGGAGCTGAAAAGGCCAATCCTGGGGAGGGAGGGAGGACCAGGCTAGGACTTGATGTCCCTTGTGAGAGGTGCTATGAGGCAGTTTCCCCACTGAGACCACAGAAGGTCCACACATTGTCCCTGACACTCAGGGGTGGAGGAGCCACGCACAGGGGCATCCCTGTGGCTCATGGAAACTGAGCCTCGGCATCTCCACCTGGGGCGACAGCCCCTGTCCTGGAGCACAGGATGAAATAATGGAGACAAACAATGAGTCGTGTCAATGATGAAAGATGACAGATGTGCATGACACTGAGGCCTCGGGGCTCTTGCAATCAGTCACAGACAGTAGAGGAGAGAAGAGTCTAGACAGAACCTCCTCTAATACCCTCACTGTCCAGATGGGGAAACTGAGGCAAGAATTGGTTCCAAGTCACAGCAAGCTGGCAGAGAGGCAGGACAGAAATCAGCTGCCTTGCAGCCTGCACACACTTTTCCTCTAACGGATGTCTCAGGAGAGGCACACCTGTGGGGTCAATGCTGGGAACCATCTACTGAATGAGCATGCTTGGAAAAGAAGCTTAAATCACAGATAACTCCTGCTTCTGAGTTGCAGACAGCAGAGGAGATTTAAACTGTGGAACAGCACAGAAAAAAAAAAAAAAAA